CGAAAGCAGCAGAGAGGTCAAGGAGGACGAGGAGGCAGAGGGAACTCTGGTCGCAGATGGACAGAATGTCTTTACTGTTGTGAAAATCAGTGCAACAATACAAGTTCATATGAATGATATAGTAACTGGCAGCAAGTAAAAGCAGATACAAAACTCATCCATTATTGAGTATATTACTTTTAAATCCAATCTCAACCATCCACTTTGTGATCATATTGAAGAGTCCATTTCTGGACTAATTTTTTGCACATCATGCAAGATCTAATGGTCAAAGTGGAGGTCAGCACTTCCAGTTTCAGTGCTCTACGCTGCAATATCCTATGCTCCAAGCAGGCCATGCATTGATAATTTGCTGCTGAAGTAATATCAATGCTGTGAAATCTACCAGTGACCTTGTCACCACTCCTTTGACTTAAGTGCCTGCACATGTTCTCTCTTCAAATTTCTTTCTCATGACATAAAGAAAACACAGGCCACATTAAACACTCATGAATTTGTAGATGTGGATCACAAACTTATATTTCCGTCCTCTCCTTCATACACATAGAATCATAGAATTATACAGCACAGAAGGAGGCCATTCGACCCATTGTGTCTGTGCCGGCTCTTTGAAAAGAGCTATCCAAATCAATCCCACTCCCCCGCGTTCTTCCCGTAGCCCTGCAAACCCAAATAATTATCTAGACACATACACCTAAATGCTGGAGTTTGTGAGTTCTTTCAAGATTAGGAATGTAATCTTCCATGACAAAAGCTCAAATCTACAGAGATCATTAGCTGAAAGAGAGGTTTTAGCAGTCTGGGTAGAAAAACATTTAAATCCTGGACTAGGATCAGACATTTAATGGGGACTGACAGACACTTTCATGGATTGAGAAATGAAGCGAATGCTAATGCAAGTTCCAGCTTATGGGAGGAGAAATGATTACTAGGTACACCCTGAACAAGCAATTACACATGTTGTCCTCCCAATATTAACCTAAAAATCAAACTGGCACATCACATTGTCTTTAAGCAGGATCAATCCAAACAAGATGAATCCAAACATAATTTCTAAAAACAATGAAAAATATTGCCACCTCAAGTCCACAAAAAGTGACAATCTGGAAGAACTGCAGTTCTGTATTCACTCAAATACTTTCCTATAAGATCATAATTACCAAGGAAGGAAACTTTTATGTCATCTTACCAAGTGCTGTTTGACCGCATACTTTAGAATAAAATCCGCAAGAGATTTTCGTTGATTGTGTGTGCCTAGGTCCAGACTGACTATGCAAGCCCTTGATGTAAGTATATTTGCCAACATGGAATCTTTAATTTTCCCTTTCAACTGGTGCCTAAATTATATTTTGTATTTCAGAAGTAGGATTGTGTGTGTTTTCCCCCATAATCAAACAATAAAACTAATTTGGGCATTGTTTACATATTCTCAGTTAATGCTATTCACAAAAATAGCCTTGGCATTACAAGTGTTTTCTATCCCAGAGTTGAAAATAAATCAGTTTCCCTGATATTTTAAGATTCATATTGTTCCAGAAGGAAACATCCTCCAAACCTCTAGCCTTGCTCTTCAAGAAGCCTCTCAGAGAGTCTGAAAATTTTTTCAACTTCAACAAATAGTACATGGTAAGGTAACAACTCGCATTTAGTCTGGGGTCAAGTGGTCTCCAAGCTTCAATTTGGGTTTTTCCAACCTGCAAACCCAATATAATATTTGGCCAGAGAACCAATGTGTGTATTTTAGTTATGATGATTTTCCATTCCATTTCTCCTCTTCAAATCTGTCTGATCTTTTCTTTAGCCCTACACCAAGTTCATTTAAAGAAACATTGAGAAAACAATCTTGAATAGCAAAAGGTCACAGACATAGAGAGGATACTCGATGAAGACTTATGGGGCATTATTTATATTCCTTTAGTGCAGGCAGATTTTTCCGAGCACTTTCTCAGCCAGTGATGTGTGAGGAGAATTTTTCAGGGTGATGAGGAATTAATGAATTGCTTTCCTCTCCGGTCAAGTTTAATGGACTATTCCCATCCTGCAGAACATTGTTTGAAAAGACTTTCCTAAAAGCTGAGTAAATTTAAAGTTTTGTTTCTTAAGAAATTCTCCTGAAAGGGAGCTTGATCTGCAGCAAAACCTCACTTATCCTAATTGATGTATGAACAGTCTGCTAGGCTGAGCGCTGACCCAGTAAAACACAAATTCCAGGTTCTGGCTTATAAAAGTATTCCATTTGCACTTGTTTTGTCTCATCACCACAAAGTCTGAAAGCTCAGTTTTTCACCAATGATGGTTCCAATGTTTTCACTTCAAATTCCTGAGAATTAATGGACGTTTCATCTTCTACTTGGTGGAAGAATGGGATATTATATTACCCATAAGGTCATCCAAATGATAAACTTTCCTTCAGGAAGTTGTTTGTGTTTTGCTTCACCTTCTCACTGAGCAGTAACTCATTCACTCGCTGGCAGCTGACCATGGGCTTTTCAGATCTAAGATCGGAGCAACCTACATGGGTGAGTGGTCTATTAAAACCAAGGTTCCCCCATCTCTGTTATTGCTCAAGACTGCAATAGGGAAATGGAAATATGAATGAGCATGCAATCCGCACTTCATTGTAGGGGAGGAATTAACTGCCATGCATCTGATAACTTTGTCCTGATTATGTCCCTTAAGAATTTGGATGCTTAACCACCTCCGATCCCAACCAAAAATGTTGAAGGAAAGCAGGCAACTCAAAATAAAATCCGAAGCATTAGGGCATTACTTTCCACTTAGTTGGAAAGTGAATACTTACTTTGACAATAAAGCTGATAACTCAGGAGAGAAAAAAATCCTGCATTTCCAACTCTTCTCTCCAGCAAAATCCTATCTCTTCCAAAAATTCTATATTGGAGATCATAGCCTGGCTCAGTTGGTAGCTCGCTCCAAGTCTGAAGGTTGTAGACTAAAGTCCACATTGGGATTTGAACTCACATAGTCAAAGATGAAACTGCAATACAGTGCTGGGGGGTGTATTGCATTACCAGAGATACCTTCCTCTGGATGAGACATTAAACCGAGTTCCTGTCTGCCTCATCAGGTGGCTGTTAAAGATACCATGGCACTACTCGAGAAGAGAAGGGTCAGTCACTTCGCTTCACAGAAAAAGCCTGTGAAGCGCTTTAAGATGTCGTCCCAACATGAAAGGGGCTATACCAAATGCAAGAATTATTACCATGATTCTTATCACCTTGCTGCCCCTCCCCATCCAGCTGCTAGTCACTCAACTCCCCCTTTTCTCCCCCCTGCTGGCCGACACAGTCAACCAGTCTCTCTCCTCAGGCTCTGTTTCCCTCCCCTTGAAAACCGCTGTTATCACACCCCTCCTGAAAAATCCCACACCTCTTCCTCCACTCCTTTCTTGAGTCCCTGCAGTATGCTTTCGCCCTGTCCACAACACAGAGAGTTTGTGTCAAAATGACAAACAACATTCTCTCTATCTGTGACCAGGGCTCCCTCTGCCTCCTTATCCTCCTGGATCTCTCTGTCGCATTCAACACAATGGACCACCCAATTCTCCTCCACCACCTCTCCTCCCTCATCCACCTTAGTGGGATCCACTCGCGTGGTTCAATTCCTACTTAACCAACCGTCTCCACTTCATCTCAGCAAATGGTCGCTCCTCCCGCTCCCACCAGGTCACCTGCGGGGTACACCAGGACTCCATTCTTGGCCCTCTACTTTTACTTATCTATATGCTCCCTCTGGGCAATGTCATCTGCAGACATGGGGTAAACTTCCACATGTATGTGGATGACACACAAATCTACTTGGTCTCCTCCACTGCCAACTCCAGGTCCGCCGATGTTCTATCAGTTTGTCTGGCAGACATCAAGGCCTGGGTGAGTGTAACCTTTCCTCAAGTATGGACAGGACGGAAGCCATACTCCTAGGCTCCCGTCAACGCCTTCACTCTTGCAGATCTAAACTCCACAACCTCCCTGGGCTTCTGTACTGTATAATCCTATGATATGGCCCCTCCAATCTTTCTGATTATATTACCCCCTAATACCCCACCTTGAAAATCTTTTCTTTCACTTTCCCTCGTATCACATTAATTTATGTTCATGGGCTAGAAGATAGCCTTAGAAGCATCTGAGAAGGGTCTTATTTTTAATTACATAGTTTCCTGAAAAGAGGGGAGGCACACCATTTTGGACACTTAACTGTCCGCAGACACAAAGGAAGTAATGAGATCCTTTTCTAAAGCCACTCTGTCATTTGGAGATCAATCAGCTACACTGCAGACAGACCATTAGTTTAACTCCTGAAGTAAAAGGTAGGAGCTTAGCCTTCTTTCTGCTAACCTACCAGATTCATGTGCTCTCTTTCACCAAAGCCTGAGCTTTCAAACTATCACTGGAACAGGTTCAGGTAACCTCTCAAACATTTAACAGGAACTTGATACTGATATGAGGGAGAAATAGAATACATTTTAAACAAAACATTGCAACAATGGAATGTGGGACAACATTGTGAAATTGTTTACTTAATGTAGTGATAATTTATACTTAAGACCAACAGTTACTGCATCTTGAATGCCAGGTTAGGGGGACTGATGGTCTACTCCTGTCTGAAAGAGGTGCTCAGTGGAGACTGCGTTTGAGGTAGACAAGTGAGAGATTTCGCTGTTTCAAACAGCAAAAATAAAGCTATTAAGTTATTATATAAAAACATATTTTATACACACACACAAAACCAAAGGGGAATCATAGGGTGCGGAAGTAGAAAGGTGAAAAGAAACAAGCCCCCTCCAAAAGGACATTAATTCCACTTAGCTTTGCACATTATTTAAGGATGCTTTGCACTGTTTAACAATTCAAACCTCCTGTTTCAGCCAGTGTTTTGCAACTAGATCTGGACAATATGCTCAGCATTGTGTGAAGCACTTGACCCCATAATCAAGACTTTCTACAGCCAATTAATGTTGCTTCAAGAATCTAAATTTCACTTACCACCTGGAGGGTAGAGGACCGGGGTTGGGGCAGACCAATCTAGCTTATCCTTCAGGTCTTCCTCGTTTTCCCTTTGCCACTGCAGACCCACTTTCTTCCAGTAATCGTAGGCCAGGTCCCTGCATTATCAATACAAGGCTAAATAAACCAAAGTTCTACGTATCAGTTAACAGTCATTGGTTTGTTTTAAACATGGTACAAGTTCAAGAAATACAACTTGTTTTGACAGGTTTTAAAATTCCCCTGGATAGGATCTGGGGACCAGGTCAAGTATGAGCCAAGGTAAAGGCTGAAATCAATGGAAATATTGTAACATGGCTTTACTTGCTCCTGCCACTAGAAGTTGCTAGTGTGTTTACATGGCTTGAAGTATTGTGTTGTGAAATGTAACGATTTGTGAAATTTGACCGAGTATCGTTTTGGGGAAATTTACAGGAGCTATCCTCAGTCATTAAATTCCATGCATCTCGGTTCTACCATTGTACCGCTTCTATCATGCTGAGCTTCACTACAACTACACTTAAGTTTGACTTATTTGGGATGCTGTTCATGACTCGTTATGTAGCAAATATTCTAAACTGTGCAGGCAATCAGAAATTTAACAGGTATTCTAAAAGTTTACCTGCAAAATACTTAGTGATCCTGTAAATCCTGTGAAGTGCTCCAAGACATCCTCCCATCATGAAAGGTGCTATATAATGGAATTATTTGTCTGTTGTATTGTTTTAATCAAATTTTGGTTTACGTCAGGTTTCAACCTCAGCCTACATGTTCGATCAACTACCAGATCTGATGTACTGGAGTATATGCCAAGCTCAATAAATAATTACAACAACATTTTGACTTTTTAAGGCAATATCTGAAATCACTTATGCAATGGAATATGAAGAAGCCTTCATAGCTCTGTAGCAGCATCTAGTGACAAATGAGATAATTACAGCAAGTTTTCAAGCTAACCTGCACCTTTCGTGATCTGAACATTCAAATCTTTTGTTAAATAAAGATACACTTAAGTCATTTTGACTATGAATAGTTTACCTCTTGAAAGCTCAATTAACCAGGACAATGCAATAAAATGAAAAAAGCTGTGATTCTACTTAAGAAACTCAAATGTAAGCATCGAGGTCCAAATCTGTATCAGTCAGCTTTCAACCCTCAGGGATCGTGGTCTCAGGACTTTACAGGAAGGAACACACATGACCTACAACACAGTCCATTCTGCATGTAATACTCTCCAGAATTAGGTAAACAGGAGTGAGTCCCTCCAAGGAGAAAGTACGCATTCCATTCCAATGAACATCACTGGAATAATCATGTAGAGTTGGGATGCATGGAACTTTGTTTGGTTTGGAAACTCTTAAACATGATGTTTAAACATGTGTGAAACACCCAGCTGACCCAAAAAAAAAGTGCAAACGGCAAAGCAACCATTTCAAGTGTTTCAGTTTTCTTACCGTATGTGAGGCATATCATCACTGCAGCTGCTCAGAAGAAGAGGAATGAGTTTATGAAAGAAAGAGTATCTGTCCCTGAGCTCCAACAGCCAGCTCCCTACAACATCTGTAACTGCATGACGTACCTAGTGTAATTTTGAAGAGACAAAAACATTAAACTGTTAATCAAATACGGCTTATTGTTAAAAAAAACCTTGCATTTTATACACCTTATCATGTCTTCGAGTTACCTCAAAGCACTTCACAATATTTACTGCAGTGTAGTGACTGAATTTTTAGACGATATACCTGTAATCTGACAAGCTGTAGTTAGCCTTCAGTCTTCAGTTTTGGAACAATAAACAAAAAAAACACAAATGCACCCCACCAATCCATCACAAATTAAGGGCTCTAATCCTCCTATAGCTACACCCAACACAAGCTGAAGTCATGAAATAATATTTACAAACCCATCAAACAACCTTGTCAACTAATGTTAAACACTGACCTGCTCAAACCACTTTAATTTCAAATGCCAGTGAGAACTTCCCAGTATATCTACTGTATCAGTTTTTGACATGCTTAGTCTTGTTTCATTATTATTTTGCTCCAAAACGAGGGCCACACACTTGTCATTTGGCATGAGTACATTTCAACAATCAAAGAAGAATTGCAAAATGAAAAATTACTCACAAAGAATCTGTAGCTCAGAGGAACATGAAACCCTGCAAGCAATGCACATTTCTATAAACAATCTCAATCCCCTACCATTCTGCCCGCTACCTCCACTCAGCGGGCTCCGGCTTGCTTCACATCTCCCGCCCCACCATTGGCGGGTGGGCCTTCTGCCACTACCCTCTGGAACTCCATCCCGCAGTTCCTCCGCATTGCCCCATCCCTTGCCTCCTTCAAGACCCAACTCTCAAGACCTTTCTCTTCAACCGTGCTTTCGATTACCCTGCTTCCCTCCCTGCCCTCCCCAATCCCGGCCCCCAGCTCGGGACCAAAACACTAACTGTCCAGCGCGTTGGAATGTCCTCCTGACGTGAAAGGTGCTATACAAATGTAATTTTGTTGTTGTTGTTTTCCCATCTTCTTGTGATGCGTTCTTGGCTTTTCTTCACCGTCATCCATCTCCTCTGGATGCTCATCACTCTGGATTTATTTAACTGGTTCAATCTTATTTGAACTATTCTCCCTCAAGTACATTTTAATAATAATGCTTGCATTTGATATAGCGCTTTTCACGTCTTCTAGACCTCCCAAAGCGCTTCACAGAATAGTCTGTAAAGTGAATTGACTGTATATTTGTGGGCGAACGCGGCAGCCAATTGAGGACAGCAATGACCCACAAACAGTCGTGGATTGAAAATGACCCATTTATTATTGTTTTGTTTTTTTGGAGGGATTATTATTAGGCGTGTGGAGTAAGGAAACTTGCCCAAGGTTTCGCCCTGCCTGGAATTGAACTCAGGTCTCTCACTTGCAAAGCGAGTGCTCTAACCACGAGCTATAGGACTCTACAAAGAGAGAGAGAAAGAGAGAGAAGAAAGAGAGAAACGGATTCAAATTTAAACAGCAAATCCAGGAAAAAAAAACTGACAGTCAATGTGTGCTACAGAATAGTCAGGTGCATATATTTGGGGGAATAGAGAGGAGAAAACATTGACTTAACAATACCACTAAAATAAAGCCAAGCTTTTACAGCTTCAAAGGGATTCCAGAATTTCTAAATGGCATTCCAGTTGCATAAGTGTATTACATACTAGCTGTACCCGTTGCAGCTACGCTTGCAACCAAAGGATCCAATATGGAATGTGGATTGACACACAGACAGATGCTACAGTGTCACTTTGACTTGGTGACCATCAGGTATAACTGCAGTGAAAAATGCAAAACTGAAATAACTCATAAACGATTGGAGATACCCGAAAACAAATATGCCCATGTCACTCCCAGTAGCAAGATCTTTCCGATGAGGTATAAATCATATCTTTATGTCAATTGATTATTGAGATCCTTCTTGAAGCGCAGGAAGACAATGTTGATTTATTAGTATATAAGGTATACAGATAGACGATAGAAGATGCAAAGAATCAAAGAAGAACCTGAAGGTTCTTTGTCTACAAAATACAATCACTACACTTCACTGTAAATCCTGTTAAGCGCTCACATCCTCTTGACGTGAAAGGCCCTATATCAAATGCAAAGATTATTTAAAATTATTATTATTATTGGAAATACATTGGAAATCTTTCAGGACAAAATTTTCTTTTTAACTAGCTGCATTAAGACACATTTTAACAACAACAACAACAAGATTCCATTTATAAAGCGCCTTTCACGTCAGGAGGACGTCCCAAGGTGCTGCACAGTTGGGTCAGGACCCGAGCAGGGGGAAATGGTCAGGGTGAGGGGAGGGAGCGAGGAGGGGGGAAATGGTCAGGGGGAGGGAAGGGAGGGAGCGAGGAGGGGGAAGAGAGTCGAGAGGGGAGCTGAAGGCTCGGTCAAAGAGAAAGGTTTTGAGACCGGCCTTGAAGGAGGAGAGGGAGGAAGCAAGGCGAAGGCACTGGGGGATGGAGTTCCAGAGCCTGGGGGCTGTGAGGCTGAAGGCCCGACCACCAATGGTAGGGCGATTGGGGCGGGGGACGTGGAGCAGACCGGAGCCGGAGGAACGGAGGGTACGGGCAGGTAGGTAGGGGGATAGTAGGTCAGAGAGGTAGAAGGGAGCGAGGCCGTGGATGGCCTTATAGGTGAGGATGAGGATCTTGAAATCAATCCTCTGGGGGATGGGGAGCCAGTGGAGGCGAGTGAGGGTGGGTGTGATGTCCCGAAGCCTGGTGCGGGACAGTACACGAGCTGCAGAGTTCTGAATGACCTGCAGCTTGTGGAGGGAGGTGGCGGGAAGGCCGGCGAGGAGAGAGTTCCCATAGTCCAGCCTTGAGGTGACAAAGGCGTGGACCTGGGTTTTAGCAGCGTGAGGGGTGAGGTTTCATTAGTTAAGCAACGAGCAAGATATGATTAGTTTAGTGTATTCATTACATTTATGAACTCAAAATTAAACAATTAAAAATAAAGTTTCCCCTCACCGATGGTGTGTCATCAAAAAGACGCTGTGCCAAATGAGAGATAACATCATCAACTGACTTCCCATTGCCACACTGAATGACTGTTCCGGTTGCCTTAATGACAGCCACTCGGACCTTCGAATGTTGGTGAGAGATGGTCTGCATCAGAGGTTTAATCAGAGATTCAGATTGCATGTGAAAAGTTTCTGCAAGAAGAAATATAATGGAATGAATACTGAGAAGACATGGAAATCATTTTCCCTGCAAATCTTTTCAATTTGTTGTTTCTTGGGCTCTAAGGTGAAAAACAGTTCAACAATAGCTTTCAAACCATGGTATAATTTTCCGTATTCTTAATTCAACTTATTCATGGCCAAACCAAAATAGTAGTCAAAAAGATGGATGAAACTTTGAGTAAAATCCTATAAACACTTTCAGATGTATGCTTTTTTTAAAAAAAAGCAGAAACTTACAAGTTTCACTGTATAATAATTTAAACCTATTCTTTTATATTGAATATAAAAACATTTTGAAACAATTGATATAAACTTAATCTTGTAAGAGTGATTGCCAAGCACATTTAAGTGGAATAAATACCTAGAAAATGCTATCAATATGTCGATGGCATTTAATACTGCTAATTTGTTCGACTTGCACTTATTTTCATATTGTTTTTAATTTTAGACTTCAAATTTGAAATGTATCAAATAATTTTCACTGAGGTTAGTGTTGAATAGACAGTGTAGTTATGATCAAACATAGACATATTTGCTTCAAATTAGAATATACATTTTTTCCATTAAAGTTCTGGCTCCACTCATGCCAAAAATATAGATGGTCACCAACTCTGATCCTTTTGATCATAGCTGGGTTTTATTTATGTACTTTCACATTCAACATTTGCTGTCTGAATTATCACAGAAATGTGACAGAATTATTCAGAGTCTCTGTACCATGGCAGGCATTAAAGCACATCTCTGCTTTAGTGCTTAATGCAAGAAACGGTGAAACATTTCTGAGGTTTCATGCCAAAGTGTTTACAAATTGCTTTGTGCTGATATCAGTTGCAGAAAATTAGATTAAAAAAACGAATTAAATAACTTTATTTAAATTTATGTAATGAGCTCAGTTGGTCCATTTAGTGCTCTTTCAGCTCATTGAGTGTCCTCTCTGGATGGCTACAGATGTTTTTGCTAATGGATGTTTTAAATAGTTGCAGCCAGAGCACCAAAGGTCTGCAAGTGACAATCACAGCCTATAGTACCTCGTGCATAAAGTACGGTGAGCAGCAGATCAGCACCCAGCTGAGTATTGGCAAAGTACTGGTTAACCCGGAGGCTGTACCCAATTTGCCACTTCAGTCACACATGGCATCAGTGATATAATGCAATAGGAGTTTACAAATATTGGACAATTATTCAAATAGAACAATATTGATCTGCTGTGCGCTCTTTCCTAATCTATTCCTTATCTACAGAGACCTACCTCAGGAAGCTGGTCCATCCCCCAGAGAATCACTTATCACAAGAATCTCAGTTAAATAGAATTAATTGGAGACAATTATTTAATAAATGTTGGAGTGAAGTTAACCCAAATACTATGATCCTCCCTGAAAAAGCAACTATGTCTAGAAAGATTCCTGAAACAAATTGTTTTTTCATCATAGTTTTTAGTCATAGGCTTTGAATAAAACAATGTACAATGGTTACATGCTTATAGATGCACATTTTTTACTACAGGAACTAATATGTGAGAAAAGTACATAAATCATATGAAAACATTTATTGTATTGCTGTTTTGCAATAAAAATAAATCATTCCTCTGTAAAAATGATTTGACTGCATACTAGTTTTCATGTGCATAATCACACTGATTCATAATTCAAGAGGTCCGATGTATTACGATAAACTGTTTGTTTCCACTAAAATCGTTCAAAAAGTGTCACTGGCAAAATCTTTCAGTTCCATAGACACAGCATCAGACATTAACATAAGTAGTAAATAAAAAGGTCATCTGTCCATCATATCTGTCTGCTCCTTGTTCAGTTAGCAGTATTCTCTGTTTGAACTCAGAAGGCTGCGGGTACAAGACCCAAGTTAGGCTCATAGACTACGCCGACACTCCAGCTCGGTATTGGGGGAAGCACTTTTTTGTCAAGAGTTGCCATCTTTTGATGAGACATTAAGTGTCTCAGCTGCCTGTTTGGGAGGTCATCAGTCATCCAACTCACAATTTAAAAAGAGAAGGGAGATTCTGTCTGTGTCAACAATCCTCCAGATAAAATTAATCATTTACTTCATGGATATTTGTGGAATATTGTTGTGCTCAAATTGGCTGCAATGTTCGCCTACAAAATAGAGTGCATGCGGCTGTAATCCTGTGAAACACTTTGAGACGTTTTAACCAAGTGATAATAATAATTATTACATTTGATATAGTGCCTTTCACGTTGGTGGACTTCTTAAAGCGCTTCAGAAGATATAATGTATAGTGGAGTCACTGTACTTTTATGGGCAAGATGAGTCTAAAGGACCGATCGTCTAAAGGAGATGGGGAGAAATGTGAAAGTGGCAAAATGATCTGGAGATTTTGCTTGTTTGATAAATTATGCACTGAAATTAAAATCCTCTGCCTTTTCAGGTGGATATTAAAGATACTATTAAAAAGGGAAAGTCATTTCTCCAAGATTCCTGGCCAGCAATCCAGATGAAATTGGCCATTCACTCCAAGGCTATGTGTAAGATGTTGCTGTGCTCAATTGGCTGCTGTGTTCATCTACAAAATGCACACAAATTCTTCCACTTGACAACAATTCCCTGTGAAGGGCTTTAGAGATGCTTTGAAGTTGTAGGTGATGCATCAAAAACAAGGATTAGTATTATTGTAAAATAATAATATAATCCTTGCATTTGATATAGCGCCTTATCACTGTTGAGGCGCCTCAAAGCACTTTACAGGATATACTATAAAAATGTATTTTGTGGCGAAATGCAGCAGCCGGTTTGCAATGTCCCACAAACAGCTATGGAGCGAGTGTCCAATTTTATTTGGGAGAGTGTTGGCCAGGACACCGGGAGAAAATCCCTTCTCTTTTCAAACAGTGCCATAGGATCTTTAACTTTCACCTGAAATGGCAGATATCTCAACCAAAAGACAGCACCTCGGACAATGCAACACACCCCAGTAATGGACTGGAGTGTCTGATTTAACAATGTGATTCCAAGTCTCGACATAGGGCTTGAACCACAACCTTCTGACTCAGAGGCGAGAGTGAACCAACTGAACCAGGCTGACTGACACACAACAACAGAATTACATTTGTCTTGCACCTTTCGTGTCGGGAGGACATCCCAAGGCCCTGGACAATCAAAGTTTCGGACCTGAGCTGGGGGATTGGGGAGGGTGGAGGGCAAGGCGGGAAGCAGGGTGATCAAAAGCACAATCAAAGTGATGGGTCCTGAAGGAGTCATGGGAGGGGGTGAGGTGGAGGGACTGCGGGATGGAGTTCCAGAGGATGGGGGCAGATTGTCAGGAGGCCTGCCCACCAATAGTGGGGTGGGTGAGGCGGGGGATGTAAAGCAGGCCGGAGTCCGCTGAGCAAAGCGAGCAGGTAGGATGGTAGGGAGTTAGAAGGTAGCAGAGGTGGGGGGAGTAAGACTATGGAAGGCTTTGAAGGTGAGGTCCAGGATCTTGAACTGCATCCTCTGTGTGATGGGAAGCCGGTGGAACCGGGCGAGGATGGGGGTGCAGCCCGTGTCCTCCCCTGGTGTGGGAGAGGACACGGGCTGCACGGTTCTGGATGATCTGATGGAGGGAGGAGTTGGGGAGGCCGACAAGCAAAGAGTTTCGCGTAGTCGAGCCTCAATGTAATGAGTGCACGAGTGAGGGCTTTGGCGGCCTGCGGCGTGAGACAGCGGCGGAGCTGGACGACGTTTGCGGAGCTGGGGTAAGGCAGAGCGGGTCATGGCACGGACGTGGGGTAGAAAGGATCGTTGAGGGTCAAAACAAGACGCCCTGGGTTCTGGGCTGGCTCAGTCAGGTGGGAGTGGGCATCCGTGGACGGTGATCATCATCAAATTATCAAAAGAGCTGCAGGGTTCACTGGCGCACCTACCAGGCGTCCACCTCGCGTACTTTGAGGCACATTCGCAGCTCTTTTTCTTTACTTCGGGGAACGGGTCCACAATGGTCCTCTGCAGGATCCTGACCATGTCGTCCAGGTAGGCGGCGAGCTGCTGGCCGCACACGTCCACCGTCAGCAGCAGCAGCTCCAGCAGGGCCAGGCGCAGCTCCTCGGCCGGCTCGGACAGCTCCTCCTGGCCCAGGCGCTGCACCAGGGCGGGGATGAGGTAGGGCAGGGCGCGGCGGGGCTCGGGAACGGCCCGCACGAAGTCGGCCAGGGTCTGGACGGCGAGCTCCCGGCAGCGTTCGGCCGGGTCCGACAGGCTCTGGAGCAGCGGCTTGAGGCAGGCGTCGAGGAGCCGCTGGAGGACGCCGCTCGACAGCGGCTTCTGCACCGACTCGGCGCGGATGCACTCGAGCGCCCGCAGCCGGGACCGCTTGCTCGGGTGGACGAGGCTGTTGAGGTGCCGGTTGACGGCCTGGCAGGCCTCGGCCGCCACACGCTCGTCTCCAACCGCCGCCATTTGCCGTCGCCAGGGGCAACGGCGCCGTTTCGCGACAGCTGCCGACTCGCGTGGCGGCACTTCCCCTTCCCATGGAAACCCAGTGGAAAGGGCGTGGCGGCAAACAGGCTTTGCGGATGACGGGGTGGGCGCGTGTGAAAGAGATATATGTTCAGGCCTATTTCCCCGCCCTTCCTTCCCTCCCTTCCTTTCCTTCCTTCAGACCCCCTTCAGGTTTCTTTTAAATCGGATGTTTATCTCAGTTCATCCTTTAACGGCCATTTTGGGGCGCCTCGTCGCGCCGCGGACACCCGTCCCTTGCCCTTCGCCCGCACAATCTTAAGGACACGTTCCAACCCTTGCCGTTGACGCGGCGCCTTGCACGCCTTCCCGACGCCGCCCCGGGGCGCTTCGCGGAAATAGACTGTGAAGGGAATCGAGCGCGCGCTTGCGGGGCGGAGCGCGGCAGCCGATTGCGCGCGGCAGCGTCCCCCGCGCGGGGCCGTGGATTGGAAGTGGCCCAATTTATTATTGTTTTGTTTCGGAGGGATTATATACGGTCAATCCGCTTTACAATATATTCCGTGAAGCGCTTTTGAGACCGTCTCGAAGATGCGATAAGGTGCCGCATCAAATGCAAGGATTATTATTCAGGGTATCCAAACCAAACTGAGAATTCCAGGTATCCCACCTACACATGGAAATTCCAGAGATAAGATTGTTGGAATGGAATGGGCTCTCTCCCTGAAGGGACTCATCTTCCTTACTTCGTTCCGGAAACAATTTAGGTGCAGGTTAACAAGTGCCAAGGCTTGGGAACCGCAGAGTGTGCTTTGGGGGAATCTGGCAAGCTTTCCTGCAGCTTGTCCAGTGAGGACAGTGAACAAATAAAGTAAAAAATTCAGGCAAGTGTAGACCTTTGGTGCACATAGCCCACCAATGTAATTCCTTGCAATATTCTTTTCATGTATGTATCTTTATTTCACCTTTTAGTTGATAGGGACTTGTCATTTGATGTATGTCGCACAGTAAGATCCCGTAAATAGCAATGAAATAAATGTCGCCTAGGATTCTCAGGGTGTGCCAAACGAATACCTATTGAATTTTAGGAAGGGGACATACAATTCTAGGAAGGGGTCTACTGATGGTCATGGCATTAGTAGAATGTGAACAAGAGCTTGAGCTAATAAGGTAAGAAGGATATTAAGATTTTTATTAAGATATTCAGTACGTTAAAAATCCTTGCATTTGATTTCGCTCTTTATCACGTTGTCGAGATGTCTCAAAGCGCTTCACAGGATTTCCTGTAAAATGTAGTGATTGTATTTTGTAGACAAACGCACCAGCCACTTTACTCAATGTCCCACAAAGAGCTGTGAAGTGAATGACCAATGAGTTGTGTTAATTGTGAGGGCTGATATGAGGATATTTTCCATGAAAGCAAAGGGGGAGATACCAGTCACAATTTGAAAAGAAGCTTCAAATTGTAATCAGATAAAGCGATAACTGGCCACTGCTGTCAACTGTCAACTCTTTCAAACAGCTAAAGAGTTGTTTGGGCACGTAGTAAGTTCTTAAGTAAGGAAGGGCTGCAGAGAATCACAGTATAACTATTGTTGGGGGATTTCCATAACCCGAAGGTAAGGTGGATGAATCAACTGAAAGGGAGGGTGCAAAGTATAAGTAATTTAATGAAGTAATGTGAGACTGTTTCTTTACCTAACTTACTGTTTGAGGCAGAGAACTGAACTAGATGCTATTTTACACTTAGCGGTTGACCAGAGGTATACAGTACATCCACCTAGTGAAGCTCAAAGCTGTGCTTATCAGATGTCAAATGACCAACTTGTGACTGTCCTCCTTGGTGGAGGAGGCAGTTCGGTCTCCTTGGAGCTGAGGAAGTGGTTCAGAAGTGGTTGGCATGTTTGCCAACGGAATGTCAGACTCAGGTGAATCCTCTATGGTGATTTCTGTGTTCCTGTTCCTGAGCCAAGTGGACCCACAGTACTCCAGGGCACTGCTGGTGACAGACCAGCCAGTCTGGCTCATCGACAGGAGTTGAAGGGGCAGACCAATTACTGGGGCAGGGACTCTTCCCACTCAGCTCCTCTTAAGCCAAAGCCTTATTGGTCCAAAAACTATACTGTGACAAAGGATTTGATCAAAATTAGCAATAGAGATGGAATGATATCGAGTACAAAGCATTGTTAAGATTCATGGAATTTTTCCAGCGAGGACACCAACCATTCAGGGTTTGGGTTTGTAGGGTTAAGAGCATGTTTAGACCTCCAAGTCTTGTTGAAGGAGCCAGATTCAGCAATTCCTCATTTAAATCTCTCCTCAGAGCCAGTTTTAAACTTGTAACTTTGATTTAACCTTTTTTATATCACCTTATATTGAAATAGCTCAATGTGCTTCACTGGGAATTATTGTCAAGAGTAATAACTGTTTTTGCATGCAGACAGGACAGTCATTTGAAGTCACTTTGGACATGGCAAAGTGCCACTAACAGCTACGAGGAGAATGAGGATTGTTGGCCAAGAAACCCCAGAGTGACTCTAACTGCCGAATTAGAAGAATAAACATGGTACAGCAGTAATCATGCTATTGGTCATGAAAGACTGAATGAAAACCCTGAGATTTGAACTCAGAAACATCCTGGTTTTACGTCTGGTACTCATCTGACTGAGCTTTCTTCATTGAATAAAGAAGGTAGATCTCCTCTTTCCCATACTGTACATATAAATTCTGTCTCTGTTTCACAGATAGACTTAGTTAGTTTGTCCAGTTACATGGTTTGGCAAATGACATCACTGCTGAAGAATGTCTCAATTATTATGATGAAGTCTGGGATCTTTTGACAGCTGTACGAAATAAAGCTGCCTTGTTGGTTCTCAGCTCTTGAAGATTAGTAATGGGATTTTTAAACCCTGCCGTCATAGTCTATTTCTCCTTCATTGTTCCGTGATGTCTCCTTTTTTTAATGCTTGTTTTGTTCACTGGGATTTTTAACGTTGGAGCCAGTAATATTAAAATTAGTTGCGAAATTCGTGTGCACTTCGAGTATTAGTAATTCCACGACAAAACATGAGTGTTATACACAGTAACAGGCAACAACAAATCAATTAGGAGATAAACCCTTCCTTACCGATCCACGCTAACGCTTTTCCGATTATGCTCATGTTGAATATAAACATTGGCATGGACTAGTTGGGCTGAATGGTCTGTTGTCGTGCTGTAACGTTCTCAGTAATTCTACGTATTGAAATAAACTTCTTAATTTTAATCAGCCCCTCCACTGGTAAAAGGACTTTGATAAAGAAACAAATGTGTTGAATGTGGCACATTGAAAGGAACTCACTAAGGTCTAAAACCTGATGTTCCTAATGAGACTGGCAGACAGCTGGTAACCAGAAGTGCATCAGACTGAACCATGGGACCTTCACTCTGGAAGTAGATCACTTTGAAGGGAAGTTCCTACGTTTCAGTGTGACGGACAAATCAGAGGCAGCCCCCAATGTTATGGACCCCAGTCGTGATGTGTCTTAAACGTAAGCCTTGCAGAGTTCACTGCCTTTGTTTTTTTGTGTGAAATTGACAGCTGAGTTCTCTGACACTGTGGATTGATTGCTGATTTGAATTCCTCCAGATCCGGCCATAGTTATCCCAAACCTTGCTCTCGAAAGACCTGGATCTTCTGCTGGGGTTCATCAATTTGTCTGAGGACACGTTGATTGACACCTGCAAAGCTTCCTCTCATGGTGGCTGGCAGTTTCTCCATTCACTGCCAACTCATCCTTCATGATTGCAACGTTTCACCAAGATCTGCGTGGCCTGACCGCAGAACTCTGAGGAGAGCTCTTACCATGTCAAACATAGCCACAGCAGAGCCCTTCCCAAATAGTCTGAAGGCCTGAGTCACTGAAAACTGCGCTGAAACCACAATCTTAGATGACACATCCTCAGTGTTGGTGTGCTGGAAAATAGATTGTCAGTTTTGGCTCTCATTTAACCCAGAGAGGTATTCATTTCAGAGATGGAACTTTCTATTCTTCCCAATCTCAGATTCATCATTCTGAATCAGAGGCAAGAATGCAAACAACTGAGCCAGACTGACACAAATAATGGTAATGTTGTGTCGGCTATATCTGATGAGTGTTCACACGATAGTGAGTCACGATATGTTGTTATATTGCTTATGGTACATAGGTGAACAGTGCTTGTATTTGTATGTTGCTGTGCAGTGTGCTGAGTTCATGAATCTCAGATGGTCTATTTATCTGTGGAGATATGAAGAGTAGACGTTTGTGGTCTCAGAACATCAGCAGTAACGCCTATAACAATGTGCTAACAGATACAGTATAACATAACGTATTGCTTCAATATTCTCTGTTCCATCTTGATTGATGCTGATGTGTTTGAAGGAGGATTACACGCGTAGAGAAGATCCTCTCCAGCTGCTGTTGGGACCCCAATCTATGCTTTCCAGCCTGAACATCTGGGAGACCCTCTCTTTTCTGATTTTCTCTTTTCTGCTTTAAGTTCTTTAACTGACTGTGTACTTTCACTATAGTCGAATGTCACTTTTTGTACTCAGGAGTTTCCTGAGCATCACCGAATCATTGAGCAGAGCCTCTGTGTGCTTTCGGATTATATTCTCTTGCTAGGTGATCCTCGTGTGGATTCCATTAGGACAGTGTCTTGTGCCGAAATGTTCTCTCCACTTTGGCCACTATCTCCTCCACCATGAGGGTTTCTTCTGATTGGGATCCAGTGGCTCCTCCTGTAAAGGGAACACATGTGAATAATGGAATCAGGAGGGAGACTTGAATCAAGCTTCACTGTAGTATCCTTCAATATCTGACCAGAACTCATCGTGTGAGCTCACAGGTGAAGAAGGTCCACTCGGGCATGTGTTTGAACCACCAGCACATGTATTTGAAATACCGGCACACGTGTTTGAACCACCAGCACATGTGGAACCATACTCCAGTGAAATTCAGCATTGGAGCACCTACAGG